TTCTCATCTATCTAGGAAATACTGAACCAAGGTACAGGAATACTAATGACACACAAAATATGTCAACTATCACTCTTGTTGACTCTCACTTATCAAATCTCCAGAGGCATCCACATCCCTCAGTGTTTTGATCCTATTTAAAAATACATATACACCGAGCAAAGTCTGTCCTACAGTTCACTTAATTTGTCCTCCTGTAGTGAATTTCACTAAATTAGCCTTCAAAAAAGAAAGCTGCTGCTGGGAAACTAGAAATATTAAGACATCAAAACATACACATTAAATTTCTCTATTAATTTACACTGGTCAAGGATCAAAATGACCAAGGAATGACAAGGTTTGTTTTTTTCAAAACTATTTATTCCCAAATCCTGAAAAGGTCTATGATCTACAATCTACAATCTGGAGACACCAGAATTTGTCAGAACATTCCACTTGGTTCAGGGTAAGCACTTTTAAGGGCTCTTAGACTTCACATTTCAGCTGTGCCTCGTGCCGACTGATCCATAGAGCTGTTGCACACTCAAGCACTCCACAGAGGAGACAGGAGGACAGGAGTTGTGATGTCCCCCTCCCTGGAAGTGTTGAAGGCCAGGCTGGATGAGGTTTTGAGCAACATGGTCTAGTGGAAGATGTCCCTGCTGATGGCAGGGGGGTTGGAACTGGACGAGCTTTAAGGTCCCTTCCAATCCTAACCATTCTATGATTCTATGTAATGAGCTGCTCCATGGTATATCTCCTTGGAACGATGCAGGCTTGGAGGAGGAGGATATGGCAAGGACTGCAGGAGCCTGGACAGATCTGTACACTGAAGGGATGGTGGGGAAGTTCTAGTTCAGGTCTGTTTGTCCATCAGCAGGTGCGGTTCCTTAGCTGAAGGTTTAGTCCAACACAGCAAGCAGGTCCTTAAGATCTCCCTTTTAAGACTGTGAATGATCAGCTATTCCAGCAGTGCTGTGACCATTTTTTTTTTTCCCATCATAAAAAGGGCTACAGAAAATTAGTTTTGATAGTCCCACAAATACAACTTCAGGTGACAATAAGACATTTCTCCAGCTCACTGGCAAATAAATAGCAGCAGAGTCTACTGAAAAGGTCACATTTCATAACACAATGCCAATGGGAAGATGATGATAATCTGGCATTGCAAGAGAAGCTACAACTATGTTTATCCCAAAAGTGTTACCGTGTGTTACCCTTACAATGCTGGATAAGGTGCAACTCTTACTGTGTTCTGCTCTTGTCCAAGCTTAATTATTCAGTGGCTAATTTAAACACTGCCACTGAATAATTAGAACAAAAGAGCTAGAAGTAGAACAGCACAATACAACACAAAAACAAGAGTAATTTCTACTGGATTCTATTCTGAATTTTTTTTTTTTTTTTTTAAATCATATGTCAACAGACATTTCCTTTTAGCAAACTGTTTGTGAACAGTTGATGTCCCTATTAGAGAAACATCTGGAGTTTTTGGTTTTTAATTTACTTCTCAACATTTGAGATTGACCTTTTCATTTCTAAATCAGGTTTTATCCAGATCTCTTTGGGGAAAAAAAAAAAAACCACAACCAAACAACACCAAAACAAACACCAAAACAAACCACTGCCGTATTGCAAGTACAGCAGCCACCCGTTCACTGTACCTCAGTCACCAAACCTCTGGACTACGCCTTGGCAGGCCTTCTTCTAAACTCCCACTGCAGACTATATACATGCAGAGAGTCTTTCTAGAACTCCAATTCCAAAGCCACATGCATTTCTTCCTACTTTTCTCTATTAAGTACATCTCTTCTTCAAAATTCTGCATATGTTTATCTCAAGTCTTTTTTAAAAAAAAAAAAAACTCCCTCATCTTGTTTCTTCTCAGCCCAAGACCCTTCCCATTTCCACTTCAATTTCCTGACCTTCCACTGAACCAGTTTTTTTTTTCCTCCAAAATCTCTTTCTAGACACTTTATTGTATCAACTCACAACTCTTCTTTCTCTCCTCTGCAGCCCTCCTTTGCATAACCCCTTCTTTCTCCCATCACGGCGTTACCCTGTGAGAGTCAGGCATGAGGAACTTGAAGAGAAAACATATGCTGCTCTTGGCACTGCTGACACCTTGCATCCCAGCCAGGCCTCCCAAGCTTTACAGAAGCTCAACTGGATGAGGCAGGATCCCAGCAAGAAAGGAAATTAATCCCTTAAACACCAAAGCTATCCACACTGGTTTGTGCAGGAAGAAAACACAGTAACCCGTTTTTGACAGAAGGGAGACAGATAAAAGTACACTCTAAGCAGCCACAAAGTGAGAAGAAAAGTGAAAGAAGAGACAATTAAGATTGTTGTGCCTTCTTTCCTATTGCTATTCTTCACTTTCCCAACATCCTTATAAAGTGAGACAAGAAAAAGGAAGGTCTAGATGTGTCTCTATCATACAGTCAATAAAAGATGAGTCCCAATTTCCCCTTGGTATTATGTCAAACACGTCCCTCTTTCTTAAGGAGGTTACCTCTTGAGTAAACAGTGAGAAAAATAGTAAAACCCCATGGTTCAAGAGAAACAGAAGCAAGACAAACCCAGCCTACAGGACTGGAGCCTGGAAGATTAAATCCAGCTTCAGCATCATGCCAGTAAACATACAAGTAGCCATGAGCAGTGGTGAAAGGACTAAGAGTACGTTAGCAGCCTTCCAATACCTGAAGGGGCCTACAAGAAAGCTGGGGAAGGACTTTTCATAAGGGCAGTTAATGACAAAACAAGGGGAAATGGGTTTAAACTGAAAGAGGGGAGGTTTAGATTAGATATTAGGAAGTTCTTCACTGTGAGGGTGGTGAGACACTGGAACAGGTTGCCCAAGGAAGTTGTGGCTGTCCTCTCCCTGGAAGTGTTTGTGGCCAGGTTGGATGAGGCTTTGAGCAACCTGGTCTAGTGGAAGGTGTCCCTGCTGATGATTCCAGCAGGGGGGTTGGAACTGGATGATCTTTAAGGTCCCTTCCAATCCAAACCATTCTATGATTCTATGTAAGAGACTGGTAAAGGAACTTTGTTTAAAAAAATGCCTCAAACAACTCCAAAGGCAGGTAAGCAAACAAAGGCAGGCTCCTGTACCGACCCTCCCACTTCAATGACCAAGAGGACTGATTGAATGAAAAGCGAGACCCAGGGGGAAGGGGAGCTGCTGATAAGGAACAAGCTCTACCCACAGTAGAGTATTGTCCTGTCTCCAAACTCCAATCTCCACCCTGATGACCACTGATGGTGATGGCCTGAAGGAGATGATTGTGTATCTCACAAATGACAAAAGAGAACTCCTATGGGGTCTGTCAATCACCAAGGACCCCCAAGCCTATTTATAGAACCTTGTGGACTAGGCCTGTTTCCAGAACCATCTGGAAAGACTGATCAGGCCTGTATGCATATGCTAATCACCTCCACCCACTGGGAAGGCCCTTAAGAACTAGAGCAAATAAAAAGCAACAGCCTTGGCCATCAGTGGGACACCCCCACTATCCTGGATCCACGACACAGAAGAAAAGAAGACAACTCCATCACCAAACAAGAAGAATTTTAGTTGCTCATCACTGGAACCCAGAGGGGCGAGACCTTCTTCTTTCTCTTCTCTTCTCTTTCTAGCTTTCCTCTTTTCTCTTCTTCCACCTTTAAAATGTTATCTCCTCTCTTTCTAGCTCTCCTCTTTTCCGTTCTTCCACCTTTCTTCACTCACTTAAATATCACAATACACACAATCTTGTTCCTTGTTCAATAAATACATTTCTTTCTGACTCCTTGGTGTGGATGCACTTTTATTTGCCTCTCAGAAATCCAAACCAGGCTTGAACCTGGGGTTCTCAAACTGGTCAGAGTTAAAAAAACCAACAACAGAACAGCCTTGCAATAAGAGGAAAAAAAAAGAACTTACAAGGATAAAAAAATGTAAGGACAATTTTACCTTTATATAGCTCTATTATGATAGGAACCGTAGTATCATGTTCAGTTTTGTTATTGCCCATTTTGTCAAGGATGTCAGGAACAGAAAGTGCACGACACACACAGAGATTTGAAGGCTACGGGAAGTGCCTTCTGTGAGATTTTTTTTTCAGCTCAGGCTATTTGTCCTACTTGATTACAACCTCTAAACACCTTTGCCAGGAAAAAATGGCAATATTGAAGTGTTATTTAATCTGGTACAGAAGCTCACAAAATAAACTATGACAAGAAACTGGAAAAATACAAGTGGGAAACGAGACATTTTTATACTTTTTTTTTCAAATAGTTGGGGAAATCAATTTCTGTTTATCAAAAAGAGGTGGAATCTCAGACTTTTCATACCTTCAAGAGGAGGCTGCATGCATTTCTTGAAGTTTTGCTCTGACAAATACGTAACAAACTCAAAACACAATAACCACATGGATACAGTAAAATGAATTACACAAGAGAAAGGTCTTGGACTTTTTTTTTTGTTACCTCCTATAACCCAAGCTACATTAATTTCAGAGGTTTCATATGTCAAACTGAGCAAAACAGGCCAAGGGAAATGGCTCAAACGAATACCATGAAAGCTCTGGGGATTGCGCGGCCTCTGGCAGCTCCCTCCACGTTCTAGATTTCTGTCTGTTAATTGTCCATTTCTACTCACATTTTTGACAGAAGCTAAAATAAACAACTTGTTCCTGACGCTCAACACCAGCAGCAGGTCTGAAATGTTTATTAGCAAGTCTGGTTATCCAGTCCTATCAAGTTATTTAACTTCTGTTCTACTAACCGAACTGATTTTTGGCCGATCAGCCTGCTCTTGAGAAATAAACCTTTCCCCTGCAGTCATCTTAACACTTCAACTTCACATCCATCTCACATTTTCCTACTGTAAGCATTTCAAAAGTCTTCAGAACGTGAAGGTCTGAGTTTTGTGGTTCTCACTGCACGCTAGACAGCAATACAAGCACTTCAGAAGCACGGCATTTTTCTGTGTAACAACTTTTATATTATTAACAATATTAACGTTTTGCAGAACTCACCTCTTTCTCTGTATCCCTGGATATACAGGTCCACTGGTTTTCCTTCACACTGTATGCCCAGAAGTCAGCCAGATCCTGAGTTCCATCCCAGCCACCAAACAAATAAACAGTTTCTGTTAAAAAAAGAAAAAAAAGGAAGAACAAACATGCTAATTTTATTTTAAAAAGAGAATGCCTTGAAACAGGCTAATACCTACAAAACACCTGTGATAAATATACAGACTATCAGAAGAGAAATTGAAACTGATTCTTACTTGATGCACTGCTCCTCTTTGAATGGAACCAGTCACCAGGACAAAGAAATGTGGTTTGGTTTAGTAATGGAAATTTTTAGTATGGATAGACAACCACTTCTCAAGGAAGTGTTTTCTATTTCTACATTTACACAAGCAGCAATCAAATCCACAGCCTTCTGATTATAATTCCAGACAGAAAAATTACCAATATTTAACATTTTGGATACTGTGCATTTTAGTCTATCGATGACATCTCAGCTTGTGGCCCGTTTGCTGAAAGATCTATAGATTAGAAAGACTTCTGAGATAGCAGCAACAAAGCTCTTCTCTTCAGTCCATCCCTTCCAAAAGAAAATTTATTTGAACTATGAAACCCTCTTCAAGGGAATGTCTGGCATAAAGTAACTTACCTGATGCCACAAAAGTAGAAGAGTTACAGATTTAAGTCTGTGTTTCAGGCCTATTTTTAGAGCCTGAAAGAACCTAAGCAGCCCACAACTACTCCACGCACAGCAAGTTTAAAGGCTTCTCAGACTCACTAATAAAACCAGATGAAGCCTCTGAACATGGGAAGCATTTAAGGAAGAAGTCTCTGTCCTGACATGAGAGATAACTAAGCTGCTCCTGTTACAGAAACATCTCTATCTGGTCTCAAATGCTAAAAATATTTCATTTTTAGATTGCATTAAAACACAACATAAAGACAAGTCCACGAACAAACCACTGAAGATCAGCAGAGCTTTGAAAAACGCCTTTAAAATCCACAAACCAGTTCTATTATGGAGGTAATGGCCAATTTTTAAGCCAACACCAATTAAAGACCAGAGTTAGAAATGTGATTATAAAATAGGAATAGTCCCTGACCCTTACCTACCATCAGGATAGTGGTCATCACCATGGAAAGGTTACCCTGGTTCATTAACTTTAATTACCCTTCCTCCTGGACTCAGGGCTCCCAGTGTTCCCTGCAAAGAGCAGGTCCCTTTGTGCACATAAATTCTCACAGCTCACAAAACCCACATTACCACAACAGCTTCATTGATAGCCGAGAAAAATAAAAAGATTTGGCACCAGTTAAATATCCTATTGGGGCCTCGCCAAAACGTCATGCCTGACTGTAAAGGCTTTGTTGTCTCAAATGAAATTTAATAGCAAAACCTGAATGAATCTGATGAAAACTCAGATTTTTGAAAGTCACCTAAACCAAGCTGACAGAATTAAATGGCATGTAAGCATTGAAAGAGGAGTGCAATCCTACAGCTGGTGTGAACTGTGAGCATCCCCAGAGCCCGACAGTAACAGCGATAGCACAAGTGTAACAGGAGCAGCGTGCCAAACTTTGCATCTTGATGTAAAACTATTTCAGATGAAAGAAAGGCTCCATCACTACCTAGGCTCAGAATGACCATCAGTTTTTAGTCTTACTTATTACAGAACTATACATATATAAATATATATTTATAGGAAGTTGCTGTATTTCTAAAGGAACTTTTCTTAATGTATAAATGTATCTGTTGCTGGTAGAGTCAAGAAAATAAACGTTCATAGTTCTTCTCAAGTTTGCAATTGTTCTCCCGTGGTATAAGGAAAAATTAGGGTTCTGGGGTTTTTTCTGGTTTTGACTTTGGTTTTTGTTGGGGTTTTTTTGTAAAAAAAAAAAAACTCCACTCTGGTCCCCATCCAGTGTCACACCTTCTGCTCTATTTATCAATTCATATTTAGTGGGGAGGGTTATTTTTTTTACCCTGCATGCAGAGCTCCAACCAAGACAGACCCAGGATGTGTGCCCAGCACTCCCAGGCATTGCTGCCTAAACAACACACCAGCAAATACTCCAGGAAGAGGGCAGACACAGGGAGGGGCAAGTGTAGGGTCCTGCACCTGGGGAGGAATAACCCCCTGCAACAGGACAGGCTGGGGTTGACCTGCTGAAAAGCAGCCCTAGAGAAAGACCTGGGAGTGCTGGTGGATGAGCAGTTGACCGTGAGCCAACAATGGGCCCTGGTGGCCGAGAAGGCTGATGGTCTCCTGGGGGGCATTAAGAAGAATGTGACCAGCAGGTTGAGGGAGGTTCTCCTCCTCCTCCTCTACTCTGGCCTGGTGAGGGCTCATCTGTAGTACTGTGTCTGGGCTCTCCAGTTCAAGTGAGACAGAGAACTTCTGGAGAGGGTCCAGTGGAGGCCACAAAGATGATCAAAGAGCTGGAGCATCTTATGAGGAAAGACTGAGAGAGCTGGGTCTGTTTAGCCTGGAGAAGAGAAAACTGAAAGGGGACCTTATCAGTGTTTATAAATATCTAAAGGGTGGGTGTCAAGAGGATGGGGCCAGACTCTTTTCAGTGGTGGTCAGCGATGGGACGAGGGGCAACAAGCACAAGCTGGAACACAGGAGGTTCCACTAAAACATGAGGAAAAACTTATTTACTGTGAGGGTGACGGAGCCCTGGGACAGGCTGCACAGAGAGGGTGTGGTGTCTCCTTCTCTGGAGTTGTTCAAAACCCGCCTGGACACTTTCCTGTGCAACCTGCTCTAGGTGAACCTGCTTTGTCAGGGGGGCTGGACTAGATGATCTCCAGAGGTCCCTTCCAACCCCAACCATTCTGTGACACCATTCTGTGAAGAGACCACAAACTTCCAGGCAGCAGGAGAGGTAAAGCTTGAGGTGAACACAGCAGTCTCGCTGTATCAGTGTAACTATTTCTACTTTAATAGCACTAGGGAATTCAAGATGCAAGCAGGGAATCTTGCTCACGCAGGGGGAAGGATTCTTCCTTTGTACTCGAGCAACATGTAACACAGCAATCCTGACGCTGCTTTATTAAAGCAAGTCTCCACTCTGCTTTAGGGACAGAGCAGAGGAATTTTCAAACCTACCTGCAAGGCAACAAGAAAAACATGAAAGTGGTTATATTTACCCAAAGCTTTTACCAGCTGCTTTTAGGAAGTCAAATTTTTCCTCCAGCATCTTAACCTTATCTCCTCTACATTTATTTTTGAATACAAATTCAACACTTTGAATTAAATATGTTCTGTGAATATTTCTAAACTGCTTGCTCAGTCAAAAATGTTTCTTATAATGTCTGAATTCTTTTCTTCCCTTATTCTCTGGAAGACCAGAAGGTACCAGAGCACTCCTCAAATTATTAGAGAACGTACACTCACAAAAATTAACGTTTCCTCTCGTTAAGTTCTATCTTTCAGAAGAGTATGGAAAGCAGCCTTTCCAATCCCTGTTGAATACCCCAAATCCTGGGGTAGTTTCAGCCCAGGTTCAGGTATGCTCTCAAAGTCAGCTCTTTTAACTCCTGTTTACTCCACTGTGGTGAAATCTTTGGTGGGGCTCTGGTACAGCAGGTCTTCTTCATCTGATCAGGATATATAATAAAAGATGCTTGGTTTGCCTGAGCATCCCTGTCTTCACCTTCTAATAAACAGGCACAATTAATACGTTCCAATCCTGGTGACATTTAACTAAACATTTTGGTCAAATGATATTTCTGTGTCTCTGCTAGAACAGTTCTCCATAGAACATGAAAGAATTATGGACCAATAACACCTCTCTGCAAGTCATCCAGTCCATTGTCGTCTCCCAAACACCCCACAGCAGAGCTAACTTCAACAACAGACCAGGTTGTACAGGGAATTGTTCAGTTTCACTCTGAATATCTCCAAAGATGGATATTTCAGACTGTTCCAATGACTGATCATCTTCATTGTGATTTTTTTTCCCCTGATATCTAACTAGAATTTCCCTTGCTTGCAATGTTTCCATTGCCCTTCATCCCATCCCTCTGCACTCCTCAAAATGAGTCTGGCTGTCTTCTCCATGCTCACCCACCAGCTAGTTGAAGATAGCTCCAAGATCCTCCCACAAGCCTTTTCTTCTGCAAAGTGAACAAAACCAGCTCTCTAAGCATCTCCTCATACATCGTGCTCCAGCCCCCGACGACCTTGGTGGCCCTTCACTGGGCTCACTTTAGGATTGTCACCATCCTTATTTTACTAGAGAGCCCAAACTGAGCACAGTACTCCAGATGTGGCCTCACAAGTACCAACTAGAGGGACATCATCCCTCCCCTTAACTTGCTGACCATACTTCTCCTAATACAGCCTAGCAGGAGGTTGGCTTTCATCGAGACAAGGACACATTGCTGACGCACATTCAGCTGCCTACCACCTTCCAAATCTTCTTTCCACGCAGTCAGTCCCCAGACTACACTATTAGACACAGCTGTTCCATCCCAGGTTCAGGACTCTGCATTTGTCTTGGCTGAACCTCACCAGGCTCTCCTAGAAGCCCATCAGAGTCTTTTAGACTCACAGTCCTATTCTCTAGTTCATCAACGACTGACTTCCAAACTTGTTACCAGCCCAAACTTGCTGAGGGTGTATTTGAGAATCAGTGTCCCTAAAACTAAGAAGGACTTGTCTCGTAAGTAAAAAAGTAGAATCATAGAATGGTTTGGGTTG